GTTTGTTGATGGGCATTTAGGTTGTTTCCAACTCCTTGCTATTGTAAACAAAGCCGCAATAAACATGGGTGTGCATATATCTACTTGGATGTCATTTATGGTCTCTTTAGGGTATATTCCCAGTATTATTCCTTCTTTGTAATTGTCTGCCAAAGAATTACAGCTGCTTGACCTAGAGGCTCCCAGTTAGGGTTTTACAAATTGCATGCTTATAGTAGGAGAGAGGTCCCTCACAGCTGACTTTCCCAATGCAATTCATCTTATTTCCTGGCTACTGTTACCAAGTGTTGACTGTGAAACCAAGTAAACTAAAACTGTTAACAATCTCAATCTCTTCACCATCCATACTGATGCTGCCAATTGGCCCAATGGTGAGAATCTTTGTTTTCTTGATGTTGAGCTTCAATCCATATAGGAGGCTGCAGTCCTTGACCTTCTGCAGCAAGCGCTTCAGGTCCTCCTCAGTTTCAGCAAGCAGGGTCATGTCATCCGCATAACGCAGGTTGTTGATGATTCCTCCACCAATCCTGATGCCACATTCCTCCTCATACATCCCAGCATCTCGGATGATCTGTTCTGCATACAGATTGAAAAGATATGGAGACAAAATACAACCGAGAATTGGACAGTGAATAGGGATGATAGAAAGAGAATGGATGCCTTTGAGCTGTGGTGCTGGAGAAGAGTGTTGAATATACCATGGAATGCTAGGAGAACAAACAGGTTTGCCCTGGAGACGGTGAAGCCAGAATGCTCCTTGGAGTCAAGGATTCTGAAGCTTTGTCTGACATATTTTGGTCATGCTGCAAGAAGGGACTGGTCCTTGGAGAGGGGCATCATGTTTGGGAGGGTGAAGAGACAGCACAGAAAAGGAAGACCCTTGATGAGATGGAAAAATTCTGTGAGTGGAGTGATGGGAATGAATGTGTTTGAGACGGCGAGGTTGGCACAGGATAGAATGATATTTAGGGCTCTTGTAAATAGGGTACCCTGTGTACAACAGACCTAAACCCTGCTCTATCCCTTGGCCAATCTTATTGTCTCTGACACACCTATCCTCATTACCCCAGTGACAGAATCAATCCATCTCACCAAGGGTCTTCCTGTCCTACACTGTCCCTCTACCCTCCCAAGCATGACATCCCTCTCCAAGGACTGGTCCCTCCTTGCAACATGTCCAGAGTATGTCAGACTAAGCTTCAGAATCCTTGCTTCCAAGGAGCAGCCTGGCTTCACCCTGTCCAAGACAAACTTATTTCGACTCACAGCAAACACATCAGAACTGCCCCCTATGTTTCCAAGGCTGGAAGCAATCTGCTTTGCCTTTTTTCCTCAGGGTTGCTGGTAGGTTCAAACCACTGATCTTTCAATTAGCACCCATGATTTTTAACCACATGCCCCAACGACACCTCTAAAGAAATAGGAAAAGGCAGACAAGCTTTTCATTCTTTCCCCTTATTTACTCGTTTTCAAGGTCATGATTTGCTATCAACTCCTGAAATTTTTCAACTAGGCTTCCCTCCCACCCCTTTCTTACTGTGCACTGTTGAATCAGATCCAAATGGCACAGAAAGAGATTGCCCCTCCTTCTCCAGGGAAGCATCTGGTGGATTTGAACCGAGTGCCTTCATGATTGCAGGGCAGCTTCTTGCCTCTAGGCCACCAGAGCTCCCTTCAACAAAGTTTTTAAATATGTAATTGTATTTACATGTATTACTATGAACTCACACAGTTAAATGTAATTGAAGGGGTTCTATTTACTTCAATTATCCTTACTGAATTGTCTCATCTTTGGCCAGTGGGAACTTCTTCAAAATCAGCTACTCTGAGCCCTTTAACAGCAAGAAGTCAAGGCTCATTTTGTACTTCTCCAATCTCAGCTCTACTGTATCCTGCGCAGGAGCAAACACTGCACCATCATCATAATCATTAAGAAAGAGTCATTCATCATCACAACCTGAGCACAAGGGGAGCTTATAGCTACTACCACATTGGTGATTGTTTCTACAATGGCTTAATTGTTGATATGTGCTGCCAAGTTGACTACAACTCTTAGTAACCATATGAACAACAGACCTGAATTCTACTATATCTTGGACCATCCTCATCATCTCTGACAGACTTGAGCCCATTGTTACAGTTGCTGTATCAATCCATTTTGCTGAGTGTTCTTTTCTTTCAGTG